GAGTGTGACTAAGCAATGGAGTTTTAGAGTATTGTTGATTTTAGCTAATTTTAATAAAAAAATTAAATGACCAGAAATGGACATAACTAGAGAACATCATTGTAAGTGAAGTTAGCTAGGTTCAGAAAAACGAAGGTCGCATGTTTTCTCTCATATGTGGAAAAACAGATCCAACACAAATACAAGAAATATCATATATACATATAAATATATACAGAACATGTTTCCAAAAGCAGAACTGTTAGAGGAGGCTAGGGAAAGAGGGAAAGAAGGAAAGAAAGATGAAGGTGAATAATAACGAAACGCCTCACATCTGTGTAGGAACAAGACACGGTGAAACACACCAAAAACTGTTGAACAACACAAGGTTGGGGGAAAGAATGAGGAAGAGTAATTCAGGGGGTTAGACTAATTTAAGCACAATATATTTACAGGTAAAGTACTGAGTCAAAAATCCATACTGAACAATGAACAGACACTGAAACAATGAGGGATAGGAATGTGACATAGGCCATGTGACGGGGAGGGCACTAGAGAGAGGGTGAGGGTAAGGAGAGAGGAAAGGTGAATGAATACAGTTGATGTGCTTTCTATATAAGTGTGAACAGGCTTCAACACTGAAGCCTATTGAAGACCCCTTAAGAAGGGGAATGGCATCTCTGTCTGCAGATAACATGATTTTATACATAGAAAACCATGAAGAGTTCATCAAAAATCTGTGAGAACTAACAAATGAATCCCACAAAGTTTCAGGGTTCTAAATCAACATAGAAAAATTGTGTTTCCATGTATAAAAAGAAGCTGTTAGAAAACATTTTAGAGGGTTGGTGGTATGCCTCAAGTGGTAGAGTGCCTGTTTAGCAAGCTCAAGGCTTTGATTACTTCCAAGAAGAAAAAAGAAAAAAAAATCTCTTTTACAATAACATCAGAAACAATAAATTACCTAGGAATAAACTTAGCTAAGTAGGTAAAAGATCTGTATTCTGAAAACCATATAACATTGATGAAAGAAATTGAAGATGACAGAAGTAAATGAAAGATATTCCATGTTCATGGACCTGAAGAAATAACAGCATTACATTGTCTGGATTAACCAAAGCAATCTACAGATTCAGTGAAATTTCTGCTAAAATTCCAGTGGCATTTTTCATAGAAATAGGAAAAAAATCCTAAAACTCATATGAAAGCACTCTCTCTCTCACACACACCCATACATACCCACACCCACATACATACACACTCAAATGGCTAAAATAAGCATGAGCAAGAAGAACAAAGCTGGAGGAATCACAGTGCCTGATTAAAAAAAAACTACAAAGCCATAGTGATCAAAACAGTATGGCACTGATATACAACAAGCATAGATCAATGCAACAGAACATAGAGGGTAAAACTAAATTCACCCATTCATGGTCAAGATATCTTCAACAAACATGCCAAGAATAAATAATAGGAAAGGATAGTGTGCAACAAAAATTGTTGGGAAAACCAGAAAGCCACATGCAGAATAACGAAACTCGATCCCTCCCTCACACCATTTGCCAAAAGCAAATCAAAAATAGATTACATAAGACTCCAAACTATAAAACTACTAGAAGAAAACACAGGGAAAAACTTCTTGACATTGGGCAATAATTTTTTAGGTATGACACGAAAAGCACAGGTAACAAAACAAAAAATAGACTTAAAAAATAGATTGCTTCAAAAAAAAAAAAAAAGCTTTTGCATGCTAGGTGCCAGTGGCTCACACCTATAATCCTAGCTACTTAGGAGGTTGAGATAGGGAGGATTGCAGTTCGAGGCCAGCCCAGGCAAGGCAAGGAATTCATGAGACTTCATCTCCAAAGTAACCAGAGCAAAACTGACTGAAGGTGTGGCTCAAGTGGTAGAGCTCCTGCTTTACAAGTGCAAAGCCCTGAAATTCAAACCTTCGTTCCATCAAAACTCAGCAGACTGAGGAGAAAACCTAGTACTAAATATTTATAAACCATATGTCTGATAATGGGTTAATATCCAAAATACACAGTATAAGGGACTCAACTCAAAAGCAAGAGAAGAGAAAATTCTACGAGCAGTGGGCAAAAGACCTCAGTAGACATTTCTCAAAAGAAGACATAAGAATGTCACTCATGGTGGTGACACATGTAGAAAAGTTGATGCAATACAGAGAAGACCAGGTGGCCTGTGCAATGACATGTGCACTCATGAGGTGGTCTATGCTTTTATGCATGTATGCAAGTAGAATAATGAAACCCACTAAAACCACAAAAACAAAAAGGGGAAGGGGGATAAGAACAGTGATAGAGGGGGTGAATTGGATCAAAGTACCTTATGATGAATGCATGGAGATGTCATAATGAACCCCCTTTTGCAATTTGAATGTACACTAATTACAAAAAATTAAAACAACAAGACATAGTTGGGTCCTGTCATCCCAAGCTACATGGGAGGCTGAGATCAGAAGAATAATGGTTCCAGGGCAGCTAGGCAAAAGAATTCACAAGATCTCCATCTCAAAAGAAAAAGTTGGGTACAGTGGCACACGCCTGTCATCCCAGCTATGATAGGAAGTGTAAAATAGGAGGATTGTAGCCCAGCCTGGCCTGGACAAAAAGCGAGACCCTATCTCAAAAATAACCAGAGACAAAAGGGTGGGAGGTGTGGCTCAGCAGTAGAGCACCTGCCTAGCCAACATGAGGCCCTGAGTATCACTAACCAATCACCAGATAAATGCAAATTAAAGCACAATGAGAGATCACTTCACACCTGTTAAGGTGACCAGACTCAAAGACAAGAGATAACAGTGTTGACAAGAGTGTGGAGAAAGGGAGCCCCGTCCGAGGTTGGTTAGCATGTAAATGACTGCAACCAACACAGAAAACAGAACAGAACAGGGCTCCAAAAATTAACTATCACTTGATTGAGCAGTCCCACTTTTAAGTATAAATCCACTGGCAATGGAATCAATGCCATAAAGAGACATCTGTGCTTCCGTGTTCATTGTGATATTATTCATGATGCACTAAGCACTGATGCATATGAATAAAAGATAATGACAAGAAATGATGGAATACTATTCAGCCTCATAAAAGGAGGAACTCTTGCCATTTGTGACAACATGGATGGACTGGAGGGCCATGTACTCTGTAAAATAGGCCAGACACAGAAAGACAAATGCTGGGCCAACTCACTTTATACGTGAGATTTAAATGCTAGACTCTTAGACACAGAGAGTAGAATGGTCGCTCAGTGGAAAAGAAAAGGAAGGTGAATCTCCCATTTCCCTGCAGTCTTTTGTGCTGCTGTAGTGATGCAGGTCCCAGACCTGCCAGCTCAGAGTTCCCCCAATACTGTGCTGTCCCCCAGGGAGCATGAAGCACCCCCCCAATATTCTACTGTATGTGAACTCTGTATTGTACAGGCACAGAACAGGAGAATAGACACGAAGGTCACTAGTTTATTCAGACACCTGCCCGGGGTGCACTCACCTGTAGAGGTTTGACTGTGGCTCTCTGGGGGGAAAAAAAGCCATTGTGTATTTGTACTGTTTGCCAATTGCTGTGGTGTAAGCATTCCCACTTCAGCCGTGGCCAGACAACCAAAGTGATGTCACTGGGCACAGCGTTAGGAAGAAATGTACAGAAGCAAATCATTAAACACACAATTCGGGGGCCACCGTGACCTCAAAGAGTGGCTATCAGTTAAAATAACTAGGAACGGATATTGCATTTATTGACTTCATTTTTAAACTAAACCGTTGAATCATTAGCTTATGAAATTTAATTTTTAATAACGCCTGGATTTAGCAACCAGCTTTTAAAAATTCCTGAAAGTCTGCCAGTAGTCGTAAGACTTAAGTGGGCTGGCACAAATTGGCCCTGGCGAACATGGCTCCTGCCACCCATCCCAAGTTTAATGGTCTTTTTATTCATAGGTACTCTGATTTACTTTTAGGTTTTGTTTTTTGCCTATCATTTCCTGCTAGGATATAGGTTCTGTGAGGGTGGGCATTCTGACTGGCCTCTTCACAGAGTTCCTTCTAGGATGATGCTTGGCCCACAGGAGATGAGTAATAAAGTCCTGGCTGAGTGAAAGTAAGAAACAGGAGATTCCTATCGCACTGGTTTCATGTAAGTTAGAAACAGCTGAGGGTGACCATGTGTGTTTTCCTGGGATGCCTGGAGTTCAAGGCTATTTGTGTTCTGTTGTTGTGAGGTGAGGGAGGGTAGTCATAAATATTGAAACAAGAAACGAGAGAAAGGGTTTTCCAGGACTTGAATGCAGGAGTGATTAACTCAGCTCTCCTTATGAGAGACTGAGAGAGAGAGAGAGAGAGAGAGAGAGAAAGAGAGAGAGAGAGAGGGAGAGAGAACACCTCACCACTTGCCTCATTTGCAGGCAAAAGAGGAGGTTCCTTGCCAGGACCTCAGCAGCTCAAGAAAGGATGCTCAAGATGGGGGCTGTCCTGCTGCAGGTGATACCACAGGGCTGGGCCTCTCCTTCAGTACGCCAGGTGCATGGATGGTGGGGATGCAGACCCCAGGGAATAGCACAGCACCCACCCAAGTCAGCTACCTGTCAGGGTATGGCTCCCTTGGAACACTGGGTCATGATACACATGGTTCTCAAAAGAACTGAATGAAAGGATGGGTGAAACGTGGAATTATTTCATCTTTTGTTATTTATTTGGTTTATAGAGACACTGAGAGTTTGAAATTGTCTTCTTTGGAATATGATGACAGTCTCTGAGCCCAAGGGGGTCTTGAACAATAATAGTGAAGTGGAAGGTGAGGAGAGGAAACCCCAAGCCACTGCCCTAGGAAAGAGGAGCTGCATCCAGAGGAAGTGTCAGGATCCTGGAGGCAGGGAGCCCTGGGTCTAAGGGAGGGGAGGCTGGGGGCTGGACCCCTGGGTCTGAGGGAGGAGGGCTGGGGGCTGGACTCCTGGGAGGAAGGCTGGGGACACACAGTGGGTCAGCTGAAGAACAGTCATCTGAACAATCAATTACCCCTCATGGTGGTCTGGATCCACCTTTGGTACTTGCACAGGTCAGTGTAGACCCCGGGGTAGCCAGGTGTGGCACAGCGCTCCATCCCCCAGGACACGAGGCCCTGGAGCTGCCCGTTACACACAAGAGGTCCCCCGGAGTCACCCTGAGGGGGAGGGATAGAACCAGTCAGCTGTAGGAGGGAGACTGAGGGAGACAGCTACGTCCTGCCCCAACTCTCATCTCAGCCCCCATGAGGGGCACTTGCTTCTTTCCATCTTTATTGGTGCTGCACTGTCGCTGTACCTCCTGGTCTCTGCACCTGTAACTGACCCTTGGGTCTCTTGGGGATCCTATCTGTCTTTGCTCTCTCTCCAGAAAACTGTGAGTGTCTACCCCTCCCACCTCTGGCTTCCTCTGAGATGGACTCAGTTTCCAGAAGTCCCAGCTGGTCTCCACATATGTCCCATGCAGCCATCACTCTGTGCTCCTTATGTGGACTATCTACCCAGTTCCACCAACGACCCTGAGGGGGTCATTCCTATTTGATGGATAAGAAAACTGAGGCTTACAGGTGTTCTAAAAAGAACAGGGCTAGAAGGGAGGAAGTGCCAGATCTCCCAATCTTTCTCAGTTCCTGTATTTTCCCTCTCCTGACCAATCCCTCTGACTTTTCTGCTCCTCATATACTTTGGTACCAAAGATCCAACCCAGACAACTCCTTCTCCTCCAGCTCCCACCTGGGCCTCACCTGACAAGAGTCCTTCCCGCCTTGGGGGACACCAGCACAGACCATGCCGTCTCTGATGGCTCCAGAGTAGGCCTGACGGCACGCCTGGTCCGAGAAGACGGTGATGTTCACACACTGCAGAGCTGTGGGGTATTTAGCTGGGGGGACACTGAGGGGTTAGGATTGAGGTCCACCTTCCAGTGAAACCCAGTAGTTCAGGCCCCAGCCCTCCTCCCTCAGACCCAGGGGTCCAGACCCCACCTTCCCAGGGTGCAGGTGTTCTTACCAATGGGGCTGGATGTGGTTCCCCAGCCTGACACACGGCAGAGGCTCCCAGGGTTGGCACAAGACTGAGCCACAGCAATGGGTCTCACTGCCCTCCCTAACCGTGCTGTCCTCTCCAAACGCAGAAGCATCAGGTCATTGGTGTGAGTCTGGGAGTTGTACTGGGGGTGTGGCACCTGGCGAGTCACGCGTAGCACCTGCTGGGTCGCCTCCCACCTTCTCAGGTTGTGCTTGCCCAGGGCTACATGAAGGATCCTAGCCCGGACCCCCAAGAGTGATGCTGCTTACAGTGGGCTCTGGAGGCCCCTCCCACCCCAGCCCCCCCACCCCCATTTCCTCCCCTGACTGTAATCTGTCACCCTCTGAGAACTGTCTGGCATTCTGTGGCTTTCTTCTCCCATGGCCTGGGCCTTCTCTCTCAGCTCAACGTCATCTGATGCCCTTTCCTCTCTTGAGCTATGTGCCCAGGCTCCTGGCTTCAGTATGAGGTGGTGGCTGGAGTTCTGGACTGGGTTCCAGAATCTAGGCAGAGTCTACACTTTGAGTTGTAAAAAAAAAAAAAAACCCAAAGTTAAGGTTCAAAATCAGAATTGATATTCTGGATGGGCTCCATTCTGGCTCTATCTTGGGTTCTGGATTCTAGGCGTTTCCACACTATTGGCTCTAGTTTAGAATCAGGCTTCTAGGTCAAATCTGGATTATGTCGTCCTGTCTACATTTTGATGTGAACTTTCGCTTTCAGGAGAAGTTCTGTTTGAGCTCTGCATTATGGCTTGAGCTTGGGTTCTAGATTCTGGTGAAGGCTATCAGTTTTAGGGTAGGCTGAGGGTTCCATACTGAGCACTGAATTCTGGACACTGAAATGAGCTAATTTCTAGATTGCACTCTGGATTCTTGGTTAAGTTCTTGTTTATGACCTGGGTTGAAGACAGTAGCTTGAGCTCTGGGTTCTAAACATTGGTTTGAGCTCTTGTTTTGAGGTTAGACTGTTTCAGATTGAGTGATGGGTTATAGTCTAGTCTCTAGATTCTAGACTCTGGTCTGAGCTCTTGACCTTCAGGATGGAGTTCTAGGTTATGACTTGGATCCAGTGAACTAGAGGTTGGATTTCAGTCTGGGCTTTATGTCCTAGACTATTCTGAGCTGTAGCCTGTAGGTTCTAGATTGGACCTCAGTTTCTGGTATTAATCTGGTTTATAGGAACTGTGTACACTCTAGCCTAGACTGACTTCAAGGCTGGGGTCTAGGTTTAGGCTCTAGTGCAAAATCTGGGAGGGGCTATAGTTTTTGTGGGGCTTCAGACTATGGTCTACATTCTGGAATTTGAATTCTAGCTTGGGGTCAAGGTTCTAGGATGCTCAAAGAGGAGATATAGCTTAGATTCTGAATTCAACCTTGGATCTGGAACAAGTCCCAAGTTCTGACTCTGTTCTTACAGTGTGTGTTACACCTATAAAATGAGCTCTAGATTTATGTTTAGACTGTATGATCTGAACTGGGTTCTGGTTCCAGGTAGTTTTCTGAGTTTCTGAATGTAGATTGTGTCCTGAATCCTGTCACCAATCTGTAATGGGCTACTCTTAGTCTTGACATAGAGCTTGCTCTCTGGATGGATCTACAGGTTACATGCTAGATCCTAAACTGTTTATGGGTTCTAACCTGCCAAGTGCCTTTCAGAATCTAAACTGGGTTAAAGATTTATGGCTGGTTTCCACATTTTGAGTTATGTCTTTTGTTCTAGGATATTCTCAAGACCCCAAACTAGAACACAGTTACTACACTGTCTCCCACAGGGCTCCAGATTCTCAGCTGAACTCTGGGGCTTCAGACTCTAGAACTTGGCATAAAAACATGGGAGGGGGTCACTCACGGGCGGGCGCAATGAGCAGCAGTGATGACCCATTGGTTTGACAGCAGGGACCCTCCACACAAGAAGCGACGAGTGGAACCTGCCAGGAGGGCTACCTGCCATGGCTGGGAGTTCTGGATGCATGTGTAACCACCAATTATCCTGTTATCATCCACTTGGCTCTGTGCCATGACTAGGAGTAAATAGGGAAAGCTGGTGACCCAACTCTGCAGGGTGCTCAGCTGACAAGTACCTTTCCTGTGGTCCAAACTCTTAACCCCCTAGCCCACCCAATGACACATGGCCAATGTCACCCCAACTCAAGAAGGGAGGATTCTTTTGTTTGTTTTTGGTTGTGAGGATTAGACTCAGGACCTTATGCTTATCTTGGTAAACTCTCTACCACTTAAGTCACACCCCCAATCACTCACCCAACCAGGGAATTTTCTGACCCCTCCCGTAAGTTACCTCCATTGTAGGTATCTATTGCTGTACACAGGGCCACCTCATCTGGAGCCTTGCTGCATTTGGTTGGGAGTGACTCCAAACTCCCATGAGTACTTTCAATCCTCACTTCTCACAACATGCCACCCACACTCCCAGCAGTCCTTCACCAACACAGCCAAGGATGTCCCTGTGTCTTCTCCAACATTCTTACTCAATGTTGCCACAAGGGTCTACCATCTTCCCCCACACTTCCTCCAAACAGCACACACACTCTATGCTATGATTCCACCACCCCTTTGCCCTCCTCCACCTTCCCTCTGATCTACCTGTCTTTCCCTTATGATTTTTTTCCCTGAAATGATCAAGGAGAGTCCTTTGGTCTGTCATTTTGAGAGAACCTACTCAGGACCTCAGAGTCTCCCAATTCCTTATTTATTTCCCTCATTTCCTACAGCTGCCTCTGTCCCCCAACCCCACCATTTTCTAGCATCTTCAAAGTTCAGAATATGGTGCTCCCAGCACAGTCCCCAAACTACCCCCATACTCTTTATGATCAGGTCACTTCTGAGGAGTCTCACTTCCCAGAACTTTTTCCTAGTTCTTCCTAGAGTCTCCAGGGGACCACCATCATCCATACCCCATTGTTCTCTTACCTATAGCCAAGACTTGAAGAGTTGTCAGAAGAAGGAACATTCTGGAACTGAAGGCTGAATTGTGGCAAATGCAGATATTTGGAGAGCAGGAGCCCAGATGAGATTCAGGGACTAAAGGAAGAGGAAGCAAGTGTCACTCACACAGAGACAGAGATCTTTAGAGACATGCAGACAGGACAGTGGTAGAGGCCAGAGGCTGAGAGGGTGGGTTTGGGGTGTGAAGTTCCTGGCAGGCTGAGGTCGCTCTGGCTCAGTGCATGAAGGAAGTAGGGGTGGTGTCTCTTCCTAACCACGCCAGCAAAGCCTTTTATCCCTGGTCTGGACAGCTGGCCCTGCCCCCCACCGCCCTTCTGATTTTTTTTTTATTGCCTAGTTTCCATTCCAGGACTACCTGCTCCCCTCCTTCCCTCCCCCTCTCTGGCCAGAGAAGCAGCCACAGTTGTTAACAAGAACCCGCCCCAGTGAAGGATGCCATAATCTGGAAGGAATCCAGGGAGGACGACCCCAGGGCAGGGTGGTGGGCAGGGGAGGTGTCCCAGCCCAGGCATGGTGGATTTGGTGGTGGATTTGGTGGAAGCAGGGTAGGGGGTTCTGAGAAAAGTTCTGGGAAGCATGGAAGGAGGGAGGGAGGGAAGGAGGGAGGGAGAGAGACAGAGAGAGAGGGAGAGAGAGAGAAAGAGAGAGAGAAAGACAGAGGGAGAGAGGGGGAGAGAGAGAGAGAGAAAGACAGAGAGAAAGAGAAAGAGAGAGAAAGAGAGAAAGATAGAGAGAGAAAGGGAGGAGAGAAAGAGAGAGAGAGAAAGACAGAGAGAGAGAGGGAGAGAGACAGAGAGAGAGAGAGGGAGAGAGAGAGAGAGAGAGAGAGAGAGAGAGAGAGAGAGAGAAAGATAGAGAGAGAGGGAGAGAAAGAGAGAGAGGGAGAGAGAGAAAAAGAGAGAGAGAGAAAGACAGAGAGAGAGAGAGGGAGAGAGAGAGAGAGAAAGACAGAGAGAGAGGGGGAGAGAGAGAGAAAGACAGAGAGAGAGGGGGAGAGAGAGAGAGAAAGACAGAGAGAAAGAGAGAGAAAGACAGATAGAGAGAAAGAGAGAGAAAGATAGAGAGAGGGAGAGAGAGAGACAGAGAGAGAGAGAGGGAGGGAGAGAGAGAGAGAGAGAGAGGGAGAGAGAGAGAAAGACAGAGGGAGAGAGGGGGAGAGAGAGAGAGAGAAAGACAGAGAGAAAGAGAAAGACAGAGAGAGAAAGAGAGAGAAAGAGAGAAAGATAGAGAGAGAAAGGGAGGAGAGAGAGAGAGAGAAAGACAGAGAGAGAGAGGGAGAGAGACAGAGAGAGAGAGAGAGAGAGAGAGAGAGAGAGAGAGAGAGAGAAAGATAGAGAGAGAGGAAGAGAAAGAGAGAGAGGGAGAGAGAGAAAAAGAGAGAGAGAGAAAGACAGAGAGAGAGAGGGAGAGAGAGAGAGAAAGACAGAGAGAGAGGGGGAGAGAGAGAGAAAGACAGAGAGAAAGAGAGAGAAAGACAGATAGAGAGAAAGAGAGAGAAAGATAGAGAGAGGGAGAGAGACAGAGAGAGAGAGAGAGAGGGAGAGAGAGAGAGAAAGATAGAGAGGGAGAGAGAGAGAAAGAGAGAGAGAAAGACAGAGGGAGAGAGGGGGAGAGAGAGAGAGAGAAAGACAGAGAGAAAGAGAAAGACAGAGAGAGAGAAAGAAAGATAGAGAAAGGGAGAGAGAGAAAGAGAGAGAGAGAAAGACAGAGAGAGAGAGAGGGAGAGAGAGAGAGGGAGAGAGACAGAGAGAGAGAGAGAGGGAGAGAGAGAAAGAGTGAGAGAGAGACACTGGGGAATAAATGGAAAGTAAGATATGAAAGGCAGAGACTGAGAGGCTCAAAGAAATACAGGCACAGAGAAAGGCGTGTTGTGTTGAAGGAAGAGAAAATTGAGGCGAGAGATGGAGAAAGAGGAGGGAGGCCAATGTAGATAGGCAAGTAGGGAGATGAGTGGAAAAAGAGAGAGGGAGAGGAGGCACAGAGATGAAGAGAGGAGGCAGGAATCACCCCACACCCACACACACAGGATGGATGGTTGGAATGGTGATGGAGAGGGGCAGAGACAGAGAAGGAACTGGAAGAAAGAGAGTGGGCAAGGGACAGGACAGGCAAGTGACAGTGGGGAGACAGGGATCATTGTATGCATAGGTGAAGGGGACACAGATAGGAGGGGCAGAGCTGAAGAGGACAGGGACCACTAGAGAAAGATAGGGATGAGCACCTGGCACTGGACAGGTCTGTCCCCTTGTGCTTTCATTTTGGGGGAACAAGGGTCCCAGTAGTGGCAAAGATGGCCGATGCCCAAATTGGTGATCTGCAGAGGGGTGTGGAGGGGAAGTGGGGTGTAGAGGCTGAGTGAGAGTGGGAGACCCAGAGAGAGGGAGACAGAGACCCAGAGAGAGGACAGAGAACCAGAGAGAGGGACAGAGACCCACAGAGAGGGTGACAGAGACCCAGAGAGGGGGGCGGATCAAGACTCAGAGACAGACACGGGGCATAAACCCAGAGAAAGACAGTGACCTTGCAAGGGCAAGGGACAGCGACCCAGGGAGAGTGGGAAGACAGAGACCCAGAGGGAGAGAGGTCCAGAGACCCAGTGAAAGACAGAAACTCAGAAGGAGGTAGGCAGAGATCCAACAAAAGCTGGGCACAAAGACCAGAGAGAGGGTGACAGAAATCCAGTGAGAGAGAGGCAGAGACCTAGAGAGAGAGAGGAACAGAGAATGGTGGTGGTGGTGGGACAGAGACCCAGGGAGCGTGATGGACGCTCTGAAGGGGCAGGAGAGACCCAGAGAGCAGAAGCTGGGTGTGTGTGTGTCTGTTGGGGTTTGTTGGGGAGAGGTCCAGCCAGCCTGGGGTGGGTCCCGGGGCTGGGGATTCCACACTAACTTGGGGGAGGACCTGCCCTTTTCAGCCTCTCCCCTAGCCTCTTAAATTCAGTAATGATTGTAATTTGTCTCTGGGCCTTGCCAGCCCCATGCCGGGGCCACGCGGTGACTCACGAGGAGGCTGAGGCCACCTGCCTGCAGTCTCCCTCTCCTACCTGGGCACTGGCTTCCAAGCCACTTTCCTCCCAGGCTGACCTGCAGCCCCCACCCTGGCCTTTTTCTGTCCTGAGAGACACCTGTGTCACTGTCACCCACTGTCTCTCTGGGCCTTGAACTTGAGTTCAGTTGACCACTTGAGCTTACCTAAGCCTAGGAAAGAGAGATGCATACACAGTAGAGCCTGGTTATGACAAAAGGAGTGCTCTGGAGGCACAGGAAGAGCTGGCATGAGGGAACTGCTTTCTGGTGACAGTCACCTCTGGGTCTTCTCCATGGGCTAACGGGGAAACCCACGTGTGTGTGTGGGCACACACACAGATGCATTTAAACAGTGAATGAGTAGGATCTTTGGCCTGGTCAACAGCATGGTACCCATGTTGATTTTCTGGCTTTACTATTGGGCTCCATTTACACAAAATGTCACCACTGGAGAAAAGTGGGGGAAGGGCACATGGGATTCTCTGTCCTGTAGGTGAAATTTCAAGTGAAACCATAATTATCTCAAAATAATACAAAAGTTAAAGATACAATAGAAATCCTCTTCCTCAAAACATCCTATTTTTTTTCTTTCTGGATAGGATCTTGCTGTGTAGCCCAGGCTGTCCTCCAATATTCCATCCCCCAGCCTCAGCCTTTGGAATATTGGGATTACAGGCATGCCTAACCACACCCTGCAGAAGGCCTTGGTGAACCCAAGGGCTGTTGTTGAGAGAGAGCCACAAAGGAAAAGCTTAGGTGACTCCCGATGATCTGCCATTTCCTGTCATTGTCTGATTGCCTAATCCTCTTCCCACCAGAACCTAAACTTCTGAGACATCTTGCTCACCTGCTTGGTAGTGTTGATATCAGGATATTAGTACTCAATAAGATATCTGGTGAATGAATGAATGAATGAGCACATGGCCACTGTCACTGCCCTGAGTCCATCATCTTGGGACAGGCCAATGGGACAAGAAGAAACTCAATCCAGAGTCATGTGAATTAGAAGAGGGGCCTGATAGAGTCCCACGCATGGAGATAGGGTTCCAGGGTTCTTCTGCTGGATAGTTCACCAGGATGGCAGCAGTGTGGGGTGTGAGTGGGGGGGAGGACAGCAGAGGTCACCATTGGGAGGATAGTGACAGAGCTCAGAGGACAGAGAGAAACAGGGGCCAAGACAACCAGGTGCCAGATGCCGTAGTGAATTTCGCCGTGAGGAAAGAAAAGAATCCTTATGGACTTTTGTTTTCCTTCTGGTAGTGGGGATTGAACCCAGGGCCTCATGCATGCTAGGCAAGTGTTCTACCACTTGAGCCACCCCCTTACCCTTTTTTTTTTTGAGACAGTCTCACTAACTTTGTTGATCTTGAACCTGAGATTCTCCTACCTCTGGAGCATCGGAGATTACAGCAATGTACCACCGCACCAGTTCCTTCAGGACTCTTGCTGGAGACTTAAGTCTGGTTAGAGGCTGAGATGGATGTGTCTCAGTCAGCACAGGGCAACAACACCAGGTGTGCATAGCCCATTGGGGAGAACACAGAGTGAGGAGACCCCAAAGAAGCTCACAGCTTAGGAAGAGGTAAACCAGCAGTCAGTGGTGTTCTGGGAGTGGAGACATTTTTATTTATTTATGTTTTATTGTATACAACAGTGGGTTTCATTATGACATTTATATACATGTATACAATGTGCTTGAATATTCACCCACGTCCTCTCTCATCCCTTCCCCTCCTGTACCACCCCGTCAATAGTTCCCCTTTTGCAATAATGTCTTTTTGTTTTTTGTATATCTAGAGTCTGCACATGAGAGAAAACGTGATGTATTTCTAAGTCTGGTTTATTTCACTTTATTTTTTGGCGATGTTGGGATTTGAACTCAGGGTTTTGCTTTTGCTAGACACCTGAGCTATGCCCCCAGCCCTTTTTGCTTTAGTTACTTTTCAGATAGGGTCTGGTGCTTTTGCCCAGGGCCTGT